CCGTGCAGATGCTTTTTATCTTGATGAGGTACCAGTAGTTCATTTTTGCTCTTGATTCCCTTGCCTTTGGCGATGTGTCAAGTAAGAAATTGCTGAGGTTGAGGTCAAGGAGGATGTTTCCTGCTTTCTCTTCTAGGGTTTGGATGGTTTCCTGTCTCACGTTCAGGTCCTTTATCCATTTTCAGTTTATTTTTGTCTTCTAGTTATATGTATGCCTCAAGGTCTTTGTTTATTGCAATACACGATCCTGTTGTGTTAGGTACACTGAGATTGTGCGATCAGTTTTCCTTGAAAGTCTTTTCTCCTATCTGTCTTAACCACAAGATGCAAATGGTGAATACAGGGATGTAGAGCTGAGAACCTTGAGGTCCAATAACTGTCAGCTGGATGGTATATTGTCTGTTGTGGGAGAAATTCCCATATGATTGCAATGACTTTTTAAAAACAGTTTATTGTCAAGTTGGTTTCCATATAACACCCAGTGCTCATCCCCACAAGTGCCCTCCTCCCTGCCCATCTCCCCTTCCCCTCACCCCCACCCTCATCAGGCCTGTTTGTTCTCAGCATTCAAGCATCTCTCATGGTTTGCCTCCCTCCCTCTCCCCAACTATTTTCCCCCTCTTCTTGCATTGGAAAGGGAAAGAATACCTTCATGCCTTCATGTTTCTTGCCTGTTTTCTGTCTCATCACAGTCAAGATTCAGGTCATGTGCATGCTTATAAAGAACCCCTCCCTTTTTCTTTTTTTTTTTTTTTTTACAGAACATACAAAGGCCCTGGAAGACCAGTGTAATGCATTAAGGGCTGTGAAAGCAACAAGGGAAGCAAAAGTCAAACAGCTGAAGGATAAAGCATACATCCTGGAAGAATTCTATGAACAAAGTGGTTACAAAAGAGTAAGATATTCATGTGATAATTGTTACAAGTACTGTGGTATGAACGAATGTAGTGGCCAGTAGAGGTCATTCTATTTCTTTAGAAACTGGGTACAGAGTATATCTGCCAAATGCATTCAGTAAAATGGTGCCTGCCCTTCCTACCTTGCTTTCTGTAATCTGCATTTTCCTTTCTGTCCTAAGTGCTTGTCACGCATCGAGTCAAGTATATGAGGCAGAAGAGGGAAGGTACCAGCATGGATATCATCGATACCTGGATCCACTCTGGATCCATCTACATTATCCTATAGGTTTCAATCCCATCACATTGTTTTGTCATCCAGCAATTAGGTCATTTTTGTTTAGGACCAGACATGGGTCAAAAATGTGGGGAAAAATTGAATTATCTTGCTGCAGAAACAATAGAAGTTTCATTCTGGAAAGTGGGTAGGGGCGCCAGCAGTACTGGATCCCTGCATTCATTCTGCCAGTGAGATTGTTCGCTGCAAACCCCATCACTAAGACAGCTGACTTGTTTCCTGTCCCCTGATTTTTAAGTGTAACTCCTCTGTGTCTTGACCAAAGCCTGCAGCTTTGAACTAGGGCTTGTCTTTGCTGACTGCCTCTGAACTACACGTGTTACCTTCTAAGTCTGTGTCCATAAAGTTACTCCACTTCTTTGCAGTTCCAATGTATGCCCCCCAAATCATTGATGAGTCCTAGGGAGATTAGGTCCAGCTTCCAGGAAGGATTCGTCCTGGGATTCCTTCTTCTCCATCTTGGTCTCATGTGTCTTCATGGGGTCGTTAGGAATATGTGCATTCCCCCGCACGTTTCCTCCTTTGTGCAGTATTTCCTTTTGTTCTCAGGAGGAGATCAGGGACTTTAGAGTCTCTCATTCACGATGGGAAATAAACCTTCCTTCTCTTCCCTGGAGACTCAGCTTTATGTTAGTCCTTCCCACACCTTGGGTTAGGGCCTGCTCTGTCTCACTGGCATCTTGTTTTTCTTAATTTGTAGCTCTTTCTGGGAGTGGGTACAGTGCCCTGACCACGTTTCTATCCTCAACGTCTTACAACAGAGCCACTACATTACAACCACTCCAGAAAGCATTTGCTGAAAGACTGCCTGAAAGGCCAGAAGGAAATGCATGTGCTTTTCTCTGTCTAGTGCTTTCATCTCCGTTTCTAAGAGATTTTCAATTCTGCATATGATTCTTGAGTACATCAAGTGTCAAGTTGAAACCCTTTAAGTCAACACCATTAACAAAATAGTCTGAGGGCAACAAGCAAACCAGCCTTTCTACACATTTCTCTTTGTTGCCTTCACTACGAATGAACTCAGTCTTGTTAAAGT